AGTAGCAAGACAACACTCAGCCATCTTCTTGAACAACACTCGGCCACTTTGTTCTTTTAAAAACATGTAAATTATTGAGCTACTTGAGGAAAGAGGTGAAGAAGATAACCCAAAGGCCACTGAAGGGCCGAAGAGCCATTTCTAGAAAATGCAAAAGCAGTGGTTTAGGCCTCACCAAGACGGAGTCTTGGAGGGCCACATCCTTGGCTCAGGGGCAGTCAGCCAAGTGGGGGTCAGGAGGACGGTCAGCAGCCTCCTGTTGGCCAAGTCCCAACAGGAGGAGGAGGCCTGCCTTCATCTGGTGGCCACTGTGGAACAGGCAAACATCTCTGGGAAAGATGATGTCACCGGAGCCTCTGTGTTCTCTCTACCATGTCTGACATTCAAGCAGGAGTCATGCACACAAAGGGAAAAGGGGCAACAACACAGGCTCTCAGATGACTTTAACACAACTATTGTTGATATGTTCAAGAAAACAGATGCCAAGAGCAGAACGCCACCAAAGACTAGAAATCCTTTAAAAAAGGCAACATGTATAACAGAAACATAATGCAACAGCTGAAATTTGGAATCCACCAAGTAGATTTAAGGTCAACTTGACACCATAAAGAGGATAAGTGAACTGAAAGACCAAGAGGAAAAATGCAGAAACAGTATGAAAATTTAAAATCACGAACAGGAATGAGAAGCAGCCTATGAGGCAGTAATGCATGCAGCTGACCGGCAATCCTGAGGGGGAGACAGGCAGCACAGCCCAGATATACCTAAGGAGATAATAGCTGAGAACTTTCCCAAACTGACAAAAAGACATCAAACTCCAAGACGTAAACCCTACAAAGGGAAAAAACCTAGTAAAACTGCTAAAAACCAAGGACAGTGAAAATCTTAAAAGCAGACAGGAAAAAAGAATGAACCCCAAAGTAGCAGGAGTAAAATCCACAACTGACATCTCAAGAGAAAAACATACACTAGAAATAAACAAGAGTTAAAGATGTCTTCAAAGAGCTGAAAGATGATTATCTTTTTCAAAATGCAGATGAAATAGATATTTCCACACAATAGAAAATATAAATTTTATCTGTAAAGTTATACTAAGAGAAATACTAAAGGAAGGTAGTTTTTTTTTTTTTTTGGTTTGTTTCTTTTGTTTTTTTGGAGATTAATCTTACTTTTCAGCCCAGACTGGCCTCATACTCATGTTTCTGCCTCCCAGGGGCTGGAATTACAGGTGTATATCACCACATCCTGCTTAAAAGACATTCTTTAGTCCTAAGAAAAGTGATCTTAGTTGAGGCTGTCGCTCAGTAGTAGTACATTTACCTACCATGTGAAAAACAAATACAAATGATCTCAGAAAGAAACAATAAATTCACCATTCTGTAAAGACATGGAAGATTTAAACATGCTTAAATAACGGACCCTAATTGAATATGGAACAACTTGTTTCATTGACAAGACACACATTTGTTTTAAGTACATGGAAAAAGGTCTGCCAGAACGGATTATATACTGAGTCAAAAATCAAGTTTCCAAAAAAATTCAAACAAGGAAGACTATTCTCTTTTTATGGCAAATTAAACTAAAATCAGCCCAGTGTGGCACACACGTCCTCTGGACACACCTGTGTCCCAGGGGAGGCTGAAGAATTGTGAGTTTGAGATCAGCTTGGATTATACAGCAAGACTCTTGTCACAAAAAAATTTAAACTAGCAATCAATAGTCTAAAAGGTAAGTAGAAAATTCTCAAACAAGCCGAGTACTGCTGGCTCAGAGAGAGGCTGAGATCACGGTTCAAAGCGAGCCCGGGCAGTAAAGTCCATGAGACTCTTATCTCCAATGAACCACCAGAAAACTGGAAGAGGTGCTGTGGCTCACCATGGTAGAGCGCTCACCTTGAGCTGAAGAGCCGAGGGACAGCGCCCAGGCCCTAAGTTCAAGCCCCACAATCCACAGAAAAATTTAAAAATCTCAAACATTTGGAAATTAATCAATACATTTCTTCGAAACAAGAAATCAGGATGAAAATTGGAAAAATTTTGAACAAATTATGATAAAAACACAATACACCAGAACAGGCCGCAGCTAAAGCTGTGTTTACAGACAGGGATCTGTGGGCTTCACTCAGCTACATGAGAGGAAGGCAGGCTGGAAACACAGAGTAGTCCTGGTGTGGACATCACTGGTACCCCCCCTCCCCGCCCCCAGGCTAATCTCAGGTGAGGCTTCCGGTGCATCACGAGGCAGGGTACACACAGATGCAGGAGGCCCACGCAGGAGGATGCTGTCGCCCGGCTGCTGCCATCAGCTTTACAGTGAAGTTTTCTTTTATAAGATGAGCCTAATCTAAAATATTAAGTACAGTTCATTGAGCATCTCAAGCCATTAACAGTCACTTCCTATCAAGTACCATGTAGTCTACATAAATGTATGTGTAACTGACAGTTCAATAGGTTTGTTTACACCAGTACACCACAAATACAAGTGTAATTAATGTGGTGTGTTATGACAGTATGTTAGGTACAAGATCACAGGGATCTCCATTATCATCTTAGGAGACTACTTCAGTCTAAAAGTGGTTCACAGCTAGCCAAAACATTCTGTTCCTTAAATAATCTACTTCTTGCCACGGGGCCTTTGCACATGCTAAAACTAGTTTTAAATACCTTTTTCCCTTCCTTTCTTCTGTTCAACTCATCTCAAAGGAGTCACTTCAAATTCTCCAGATAATTTCTTCTAAGTCTAGGTTAGGTTCCTCTGACGTGTACTTTCATAATTCTTTCACAAACAATAATTGTTTGTGCAGCAACAGCTGGTTGTGCAGTTAAGTTTAAAAGTTGTTTGTCATTCCCAAGATCCTATTCACTGTCTCCGCGGGGCCTAGCAGCCTTTCTATATATGTGTTAAATGAATGAATGAAAACACTGACATAGAGTTTAGCCTGTAAGTAACCATTCAATTTACTCAAAGCTGTCAAAAGATGTTCCACTGTCTTGGAAGAAAACTCCAAAGATTACCGTCACCAGCAGTTGGCATCTACTTCCGTGACATTTACAGTCATTTGCTAATCCAAGATACCTACCCAGAGGTTTTTTTCCCCTTGATATTCAAGGAAAACAATTTTAACTTCACACTGCTTTTTGTTTACTGCATTGGAAAGCTAATGCCTTTATCAAGCATGCTCTATTCCACACCAAGCAGGTGTGGTGAGTGATTCAAATACTACTAAAGCTGAGTACCACAGCTGTGCCAGCCTCCAGCCACAGACATCCTCCCACAGCTCCGGTGCTTGGCTGGGCACCAGGTGAAGTCCCACTTCCTGGCTCACAGACAGAACCTTCTCTAGGTTCTCTCGCGGTGGAAGGGGCAGGGGAGCCCTCTGGGTTCCCTCTCATGAGGACACTAATCCCACTCATCAAGGGGGGCCTGATCCCTCCGCTCCCAGCCCACAGTGAGCCTGCTGTGGACCAGGACTGGACCGCACTAGCGCCAGGCCTGCGCGGGCACTCCCCGACCGGAGGCACAGCCAGTCTACAACCCAGGCAGGCTCCCAGCTCGCCTTCTGCTGCCTGCAGGGACGTGGGGGGAATGCGGTTCCACAGCCTGAGCCAGGTCTGACCCCAGCTCTCCAGTCAGCCGTGCTGGCCTGCCCCCCTCAAGGGAAGCAGAGCTTGCTTTGGCTCTATGTCAAGGTTCCTGTCCATGTAACAGCCTTTGCTGCTTTGGGCCATGGTGCCAGCACCCCTGGCAGGAGGAACCACTCACCTCAGAGTAGTAGGAAACCAACAGCAGGAACGGATGGGTCCCAGATCCCATTCAAAGGCACCTGCAGTAACCATCTTCTTTCTACGAGTCTCCACCTCTACAGGGCCTCCCACCCCACCCCCGTGCCATGGGCTGGGCAAGCCATGCCTTCAACACTGTAAGAGAAGTCTCTAGCCTCGGTTTCAGCTCTTCAGCTGTGAACTGGGTAGCAGCAAATGACCCAATGACCTGGCAGGGCCTGCCAGAGGCCTCCAATGGCGGCGGTCACGGTCCTGCCACAGCCCAGCACTGCCCAGCCCCATGGGCTCCACGCGGAGGAATGGAGTACTCAGCCACTCTCTGTTCAATCTGCCCCAGTGTCTCCACAGCCCTTCCACCTCCTCACCGGCTCGCTACTCTATTTCCACCGGTACTCGGCACCTCCCCGTTACCCAGTAGCCAAACGCATCTCTAACATCTGCTTGCGGTGCCAGACCCAACCACCTCATAGCAAGTAGGCTTGCCTGAGAACCACCTGACTCCCTGTGGGGAGGGAGTAGGAGGCTGGTGGGGCCTCCTGGGTGCACAGACCCTCTCCACACACAGGTCCCACAGGCTCCACTCCTCCTCCACAGGCACCAGCACTCTAAGTTCAGCAAAGCTGCCTTTGTAAGGAGCACAGAACCTACCTGTGTCTCCCTGGGGCTGGGGCTGAGTGTTCAAGGACAGTCCAGGAGCAGGACAGACAACACAAGGAGCGCACCGCAGCCTGTCACTTGAGCAAGCCATCCACCTCCCTGAGCCACTGGGAGTAAACTGTGTCCCACCCCAATTGCACGTGACAGGAGGTGCCTACAGGGACAGGGTGAACTCCTCCCCTATAGGCCCTCCAGAGATTGGAGATATGCTGAAAACACCTCAAAGCCCTCCGCTGGCTTCCTCCGGGGCCTGATCACCTTTCCTTGCCCAGGCGGACAGTGGAAATTGCTGCTCACCAGATCCCAGCCTGGAAAACATCTCTGACAGTCAGCCTCGCCCACTCCAACTGACCAAGGAACTGGAAAGAGCCGAGTGCTAATTTAGGCAATTACCACTAGCCAATGGTTAGCTTAGGCTCAGGTGAGGGAGCTGAGGAACAGATGGCTGTCGTGCTATTAGAGAAATGTGAAATCAGGCAGGTAGCAGCAGGCATCAAACCACATGCGAGGGCTTTTACAAATGCAGGCCAAGTTTACAAAGAACAATAAGCAAATTCTTACTTTATTACGCTCTCTGCTTTCGAAGCTGCCTCGTGGAATTGCTGAGCAGACATTTTATACATCTCAGCATTCTACAAAGAGAAAAAGAGAACTGGTTACCAAAGGCTGAAACATCCCCCTGGCCCTCATGGGACACAACCGCGTTAGAAACCAACAGATGCTAATTTCTTGACCAGCAGCAATGCAGAGTGATTAGTCCGCAGCTTGGGTTCCACTCCTACCACACTGCCTGCTGCTTTAGGGTCCTAGAATAGCAAGTGCTGGAAGAACACAACAAGATCCTGTAGTTCAGGAGCTCATAAGCCACAACCCACAGGCAAAACCTACCGGCCCCCATTCTGTAAAGTCTCACAGGCATATAACCATACTCATTTGTTTATATATTGCAGCTGCTTTTATGTGACAATGACAGACTATAGTAGTTGTGACGAAGACTGTATGATCTACAAAGCCTAAAACATCTATCATCTCTAATGAAAACAACTCAGTCTGGTTTTAGGTGGACTCTGCAGCTCAGAGAGGTATAGTGATATGACCAAAGTCACACAGCAAGGGCAGTGTCAGGCTCTCACCCAGGAGTGTGGGTTCCCAGCCTGGGACACACTCTGCTGCCAACCACAACACCCACTTATCAGCATGGTAGCCACTAGTCCCGAGCACGGCAGAGATATTCTAAAGGTCCACCCTCCATCCAGCCTGAGACTATCTGTTGCAATGCACACCGCCTTGGAGCCAAGGCTGGTGGGAAGAGCCTCTAGGCTTGGGAACCAGACAAAGCTGGGGTAACTGTTTTATGTGCCGCCCAGGCCAGTCACTCTGCTCCATCCAGAACAGGCTCCTGAGTTACTACTCGCTCCCAGAGGAGAGAGGCATGAACACATGTTCTAACACCTGCGTTCCAGGTGGGAGGGCTTCAAGGCCCAAATGGATGATACCCAGTGTCTGGAGAAGCCACCACGGCTCAAGGCTCAGTCTTGTGGGAAGCGGATTCTAGGGGAAAGCAACCCAAGCCAGGACTAGATCAGGTTTCCCCTGTGCAGGGTGATGAACATGGCTGCAGAGGCAACACGGGCCTCCCTGAGGCCTGGCCTCCTGTAGACACCAGGCCTTTGCAGCGAGATCACAGGGCTGTGCTCCCTGAGCTTGGCTCTGTCCACCCAGGCCACGTGCTTAGCCTGGCTCTGCCCGCACAAAAGGATCACGCTAGTCCTTACAGGTGAGATTGTTCAGAATCAGCCCCACAGACAACTACTTCCTGCATAGCACAGAGCTCCATCAGGACTGTGGAGAAGGCACCCTCTATCCTCTGTTGGGACTCCACACAACCCCTAGCCTCAGAGGGTGGTCAGGGAAGAAAAAGGAACCTCAGAGGCAGAGTTCCTGAAGCACTCGGCCACTGCCAGCAGGGACGAGGCTCCACACGGGCCTGCCACTCTCAACGGCAAAGTGGGCCTAGCCATGTCACGAGGCATGCCCCTTCGCGCTTCCTCTCCTCTAAGCCAGAGCCCTCAGTGGGAAATGCCAATGCTTCCAGCACACAGCAGGTACACAGTACACTCTCCAGCCCCATGTTCGCTCTAGATCTCTCAGTCCACAGTGGACTGTCCTGGTAGAGGGGAAAGGACAAAAGCAATGGAACGAAGCCCCTCCTCTCCCTCCAAGTAGGTGCTCTTCTGTGACCTCCTTGAGGACCTTGTGAAGACATGGCCTGGTCCACAAAGCCACCTTCTAACCTTGGTGGCAGCTTGGCACATACTGGCTGTGTCCCTGGGCAAGCAGCTTGCTTCTGCTGAGCCATGCTTTCTTAACTAAGCGGTAGGCACCACCCAAGGCACCCACCAATCCAGCACAGAATGCTGCTGGGCTGTAACGTTAAACTGTGCTGAATCCTAGGTGCTTCTAGCTGAGCCCAGACTCTTCCTTCCTCACAGCATAACCTCACACTCTTTGGACCAAACACAGGGTGTTTCAGTCAGGCCGCCAGCTTCCAGACCTATCACCCCTGGCTGACCCTGCAATGGGAGGAGCCATGACCAAGATGGACCCCATGTGATATGGGATAGACTTCACGAGGGCCGACAGCCGGCCTGCGGGAACCAGGAGTGGCTAGGCTGACTGCAGGCTGAGATGAACGAATGTGCGTTGCTAAGACTCTCACAGGAAGTACCTGCAGGCCAAGAAGTGGTTGAGAGCACTGCACTGCAGCGTCCTCTATGGTTTTTCCAGATGACTCAGTGATCAGGCCCCACTCTAATCTAGCTGCTGCACATTTCACAACACAGGAAAGTCTTTAGGCCACACTGGGCGGCACTGTACCAGATGCTGCCTCACAGGCCTGGCATGGGCCTGGAAACACCCTCGTGGACAGGAGAGCCCTGGACAGACCCCAGAACTCACCACCATCTGGGGCTTTGGGAGAACTGACACCCCCCCGCCCCCATGTTCATCCTGAAACCCACTGAGTGTCCAGGGATTCCAAGACAAACTTTTGCTCCCAGGCTACAAAGGGACACTGGGCAGCATGGCCAGGGTGGTGTGTCAGACCACCTTCTTGGGGGGATGACACACACACACACACACACACACACACACACACACGCACACGCACACACACGAAGTTATTCACTCTCTTTTCCCATTCTCCCCTCTCCTCTTCCTCCCGAGCAGTCTCTTAGCTTGGTTCATATTCTGTCTAAGCCTACACACATTCCTATGTACATGTCTGTGAACACGAATGTCGTTTAGGTCTAGTTTCGCATGTCAGTGAAAACATATGTTTTATTTTCCGAGCTTGAGCTTGTCTTGTCTTACACAGCATGATGTCCTCTAGTTGCATCCATTTTCCTGAAAAATGACATTTCGTTTTCTTTATGGCTGTGTAGTATTCATACACACCCCTTCTTTATCCATTCATCTGTCCTTGGGCACTTCAGCTGATTCCATCATTTGGCTATTATGAAGAACAGTGTCATGATACACACAGAGGTGCAGGTTTCTTTCTTACACAGTGATTACTCTCTTTTGGATCTAGTCCAGTAGTGGTATGGCAGGGTCATAAGGAAGAACTTCTTCTAGTCTTTTGAGGAATCTCCATACTGATTTCCATAGTGGTTGCACTGGCTTGCATTCCCACCAACACTATGAGGAATCTTCTGTTCTTGAATCTTTTCCAGTTGTTATTTGTTTTCTGCCATTAAGACTGGAATGAGGTGGAATTTTAGTGTGGTTTTGATTTTCATTTCCTTTGTGGCTAAAGACATTGAAATTTTCTTCATGTGTATATTGGTCATTTGCATTTCTTCTTATGTGAGAACTATCTGTTCATCGGTGTGCTTGCCCATTTGTTGAAAGGATTATTTAGTCTCTTGCTGTTTAATTTCTTTCAGTTCTCTATTCTAGATATTAATCTTTTATCTGTTCAATAGCTAAGAAAGATTTTCTTTCATTCTATCAGCTCTTAGTTCTGATGATCATTTCTTTGCTATGCATAAACTGTTTAATATAGTTCCATCTGTCCATTCCTGCTCCCATTCTCTGGACATCTAGAATCCTACCTGGGAAAAATCTGCTTGTGCCTATGCTTCCCTTATAGTAGATTTAAAGTTTCAGATCTTACTTTTAAGTTCCTTACTAACTGGAATCAATGTTTTTTTGTTTCTTGTCAGGCATGGGGCTTGAACTCTGGGCCTGGGGCGCTGTCCCTCAGCTCTTTAGCTTAATGCAAGAGCTCTACTGCTTGAGCCACAGCGCTACTCCCTGTTTTCTGGTGGTTAAATGGAGATGAGAGTCTCATGGACTTTTCTGCCTGGGCTGGCTTTGAACTGCAATCCTCAGATCTCAGCCTCCTGAGTAGCTAGGATTACAGGCATGAGCCACCAGTGCCCAACCTTGGAATCAATGTTTAATAGGATGATTAGGGGGTGGGGAGGGGATATTCCTTCACAGCAGTAGGTAAACCAGGTATCCAGTGCTGGGAATAGAACAAGTACACAGTAGAGCATACAGCTCTACCAATCAGCTATACCACTGACACTAAGGCACCACTGTGTTTCATTAAACAATGTCTTTAAAGATACAAATGGTTTAGAAAACAAAAGCAGAATGGAGACCGGGTATAGAGTGAGTGAGGAAGTTGCTGTCCAGCCCTCCCCTCCTCTTCGCAGCCCACAGGTGAGGTGGTAGTACATCCTTGAGCACACTGCTCGAGTAAGCACACACACAGCCCACGCGTCCCTGACACCCATGGCAGACGTGATGAGCCCACTTCATCTCTTCACTTGCCAGAGACAGCATCCACTTTTCCTACTGAATAAACAGTCTTTCCTTGGACAGACAAATACCACAAACCTTAGACTGCACACCGCCCTCACCCCCTCCCAGATACACAAGGCCATATTGCAGGCTCCCACAGTTACAAATGATGCTGAAGGGAACAACTCTGTGCAGGAATGAAAAAAACTTATAGGGCACCTTCCAGAAGCCAAGTTCTTGGGTCAAAAGGTATACTAACTGTGAACAAATTTTATAAATGAGTAGAAATGAGCCAAGTGAGAAGCATCATGGATAAGAAGCAGCAGAGTTGCCGGGCGCCAGTGGCTCATGCCTGTAATCCTAGCTACTGAGAAGGCTGAGATCTGAGGATCACAGTTCAAAGCCAGCCTGGGCAGAAAAGTCCATGGCAGTCTTATCTCCAAATAACCACTAGAAAAAACTGGAAGTGGTGCTGTGGCTCAAGCGGTAGAGCGCTCGACTTGAGCTGAAGAGCGTAGGGACAGTGACCAAGCCCAAAGTTCAAGCCCCATGACCAAAAAAAAAAAAAGCAGTAGCAGAGTGAGGAAGCCTGAGGCATGCACATGGCTGCAGGAGAGGGGAGAGGCACTGGCTGGGGACGGGGGAGGGGTGGCGGGAGCTGGGAGGACGCCATGGAGCGCCTCAACAGCAGCTCACAGGCCTGGGTTTCATCCCACAATGAGAAGAAAAACGCTTTGCTTTTGAAGGAGAGTGGCAAGTACAGTCATGTTTTTACTTAGTTTTTGGTGGTGCTGGGGTTTAACTCAGGGTCTCATACTTG